TATTAACATTGCAAGTATTTAACTTTATATGATGATTTTTTTTTTGTTTTTTTGGGATCTTGCTGAAGCGTATTGAACTAGTTTTACAATGCAAAATATTCCATCTTGCTCTATTTCACTTCTATATACACACCTAACCATTTTCATGTAAAAATGATAGGCTAAGTACTAATCTTATTGACATTTTAACATGTAAAAATCTTTGAAAAAGAAAAGCTATAATATAATAAAGAATTGGATAAAAGGGATATAAACTTTGAAAATTCTGGATAAAATGATAAAGTAAAAAGGGATTATTCAATCTATTCCGTCTTTGTTCAGTTTCTAGGAATAGAAGTGGACGAATATGTAAACAACAAATGAAGCAAAATCAAAATCTAATACCAACAAAAAGTAAAAGCAAAAAGAAGAAGGTAAACGAGAAAAAAAAAAAAGAGGAAAGAGAGAGTGAACGGACACACCACGAGGTTTGGAGCTTCAAGAGATCAAGAGAGAGAAAAGTGTCTACTAAAAGAGCTTTTTGACTCTCTCTCTCTCTCTCTCTCTCTCTCTCTACCCATATCCATGACTGATTCACACCTTGAATTTTCTTTTCACATCCATTTGTCATATTATTCTTGATTCAGCCAGTCTGCTTTTGACCACATTCAAGAAAATTAAATATATATTATACATTTAAGGTTTGTTTTCTTGCTCTTTTTTCGTTTTTATAATTTCAGCATTTTAATTTTATATGTTTCATTGTTTCTCCGTTCATTTTTATTCGTAAATATCAAATCTTTTGTGGGTTGTTTTTCTTAATTATAATTTTATGAATTATCGGATATTTCTTGGAGATTTTTTTAAGAAAAAAAACCTAGTTCTTCAAGATTTGTTGACATGCCTTGAAATTATTTCGTCGGGTATATTTTTGTAAGGGAAATCGGAAGATTTGATCTTTGTGAATCATGGGAAATTGCTGTGTGACACCTCATGGTTCTTCTGAGAAGAAGAAACAGAAGAATAAACCGAACCCTTTTTCCATAGATTACGGTGCGAATAATGGATCTGGGGGTACAAACAAGCTTGTTGTGTTGAAAGATCCGACAGGTCATAATATTAATGAAAGGTATGATCTTGGGCGCGAGCTTGGGAGAGGTGAATTTGGGATCACGTATTTGTGTACTGATGTGGGGTCTGGTGAGAAACTCGCCTGCAAATCCATATCCAAGAAGAAGCTGAGGACTGCAGTGGATATTGAAGATGTTAGGAGGGAGGTTGAGATCATGAAGCATTTGCCTAAGCACCCAAATATCGTGAGCTTGAAGAACACTTACGAGGATGAAAGTGACGTACATATTGTGATGGAATTGTGCGAAGGTGGTGAATTATTTGATCGGATAGTGGCGAGGGGACATTATACGGAAAGGGCTGCTGCATTCATTATGAAGACCATTGTTGAAGTTGTTCAGGTGAAATTTTACCCTTTTTTAATTGATAAAGACTTAAAAATTAATTTTAAAAATATTATTAACTGTTTCTTTTGGTTCAATTGAATAGTTTTTTGTTATTCTCTTTTTATGTACTGTGTAGATGAGTGCGTGAATGTTCCTTGGCAGTCTCACATATCACTTGAATGTTTTCTTGGTATGACATAACAGGTGCTGAACATGGATATCTTTTTTATTTGTTTGTCCACTGTCGTACATCTCCTCTAATATTTCGTTTTTGAAAGTTGCTATTGAGTAGTAGAGAAATAGGTGTTCGTACATCTCCTCTAATCTTTTATTTTCGAAAGTTGCTATTAAGTAGTGGAGAAATAGGCTTGAGATACCTAGGAATATTGTGAATTTTCATTGCCAACATCAATTCTTGCTTTTTAGTGAGAAGGAACTGCTGAAAGTTATGATTAATTAAGATGCAATTGCTGCAAACTATCTTAACATCAAATGCTACTTCAAATTTACTTTATTCTCACAAATTCCTCTAACTAAGCACACGTGTACTCTGTAATGTACAGTACTCAGATTATTATGGGAAGTTTTAATTGGAAACAATATACTACTTGTATAAGCTCTGTAAACAAATTGAGCCTATTTTTGCCTTCTTTCTTTTGTTTAATTAGTCTCGAACTCCAATTCTATGTTGTAGTCTTTTCTAATCTCATCCTCTTTAATCATGTAGGCGTAGAATTCTATGCAAGAAATAAATTTGATATTTCGAATCAATGTACTCTATCTGAACTCTTTAGTTTCCATCAATATCTATGGTGATTCTCGGTTGTTGGAATCATCTATTTTACTTATGTTGTTGAAATTTCACTCGTTATTTGATCTGCTAATTATAGCCCTAGAATAACAAACACTTTAGCGCCTTCATTATGCAGATGTGCCACAGACATGGAGTGATGCATCGTGATCTCAAACCAGAGAATTTTCTTTTTGCAAATAAGAAAGAAACAGCTCCACTGAAAGCAATTGATTTTGGTCTGTCAATCTTCTTTAAACCAGGTAAGGAACATTTTTATCAGAATGTCTTCGGCATTGAGCTCGAAGACCATTTGCCTTGTTAACTCAGGTCTATAATCATTAAATTTGGCCTTCAGGTGAGCGCTTCAATGAGATTGTGGGAAGTCCTTACTATATGGCTCCAGAGGTTCTAAAACGCAACTACGGGCCAGAGGTTGATGTGTGGAGTGCTGGAGTTATCCTTTATATTCTGCTTTGTGGAGTTCCGCCCTTCTGGGCAGGTTTGTTTCAATAGTTGCGTTCTTTATTTCATTTTTTAAGGTCTAGAGTTGAAATAGAATATGTTGTCCGGATTCAGAAAAATAGAGGCACTGGATTTCCTTGAGACCATCGTTAAAATGTAGAAGTATAATATGACATGAACACTGTAAAAAGCACCAATTTATTACTTAAAACTTAGTAAAATGTTGAAAATAATATATAAACCTAAAATTTAGTGGTAAATATTAAGAATGACTAGAATGCAATGCAATTATATATTGGGATAGAATTTCATGACAAATGATTAGGTTTCTTGACGACAAAGGAATTCACCGCCTTTATGTTAAATAAAGGAATGAGTTCATTAAATGAATTAGTAAACCAAAAAATTGTCGTGGAAGTAGTAGGAGAGTGAACCTATTTCCTTGGAAAAACTGTGACAACTGGAAAAAATTGTGATTTTTTCTTGATTTATCCCCAGTGCTCCAAGTTACTTTCTAGACAGGTTATGGCCATAGGTTCACCATACATGAATACTGGCACTAGATGCGAATGGAAACACTGAAGTTCTTGAAGCATAATTATGCTTTATTTATTGTTTCTTTCTGATAACGTTCACAAAGATGAAATGATATTGGCCTGTCATTATTTTTAGTCAATCTTCTTACATGTTGATGCGAATGGAAACACTGAAGTTCTTGAAGCATAATTATGCTTTATTTATTGTTTCTTTCTGATAACGTTCACAAAGATGAAATGATATTG